GGATAAAGTTGTAGTGTAAACCAGTTACAAATCATTGTAATCATTTCCAGTCATTTGTGATTTTTATAAACTGTCCATGTGTCCTGGGCTGTTTGGGTTGGCAGTGGCTACCTTCCTCTGTGAAGGCCATCAGTTCCTATTGTGGTGGCTCTTTTCTGCATCTATGACTCTTGGTACATTCCTAGGTCTCTCTACGGCTTTCTGCCCTTGTCCAATTGAGGGTTGGGGAGGTAGAGGCCTTCTATTATGGCTAGCCCTAGAGTGTTTCACCATCTTTTGTGGTATCTTAGGCTTACCCCCAGCTCTGTAAATAGGCATTTCATTAAACTCTCCTCAGGTAATCTTTTTGAGATACGGTAATATTCATTAGCCATGATGACATAAATTTTATAAAGTTTACTTCAGGATAATAAAAGAGATGATGAAATGTCTCTTTATAAGCTGAGGAAAAGTAACACTTGCTCCAGAGCAAGGATATATGAGGATATTGTTTAACGAAGGTCTCTCCTCCTCATAAATCTTTTGAGGAGTCTAAAGCCAGAGAGAGCGAAGGGAACCGGAACCCTCTGGAGAGGACAGGTTGGGACACCTTGGTTGGGCTGAGTTGGCCTAATACTGAGTAGACATAAAGGACATGAGCCATGTGTCCCCTGCTTCTGTCTGCCCAATCCCACTCAATTGTGGGGAGGTTCACACTATACAAATGGTCAGTCAAGACTAGGGCCCTGGGATCAACCCCATGAATTCTAGATTTCCCAGGGGAGCCCAAGTTACAGGCTCAGGATGTGCCTGAAGCTAGAAACCACTCTACTCCAGCCTGTTCTGCACAGAGATGTGCCAGAAGGAACATGTGTATCTCAATATACAGTTTAAGAACCCAGGCCTGAGTGACAATTCGGGGGAGACCTCTTCTTCCTTCCCTTTTAGCTGTAGAGAATGAGGATGCTGCTGCTCAGAAGGACTAATAGCCATTGTTTCAACCGAACCTCCTCAGATCAGGGAGTCTGTGGGACAACAGGCATCCATGCAGCAGAAAGGGCAGCAAAGAACAGGTATGGCAGCAGAGGTTGATGGCATTCTCTGTTGGTCTCCAGACTACTTGACTCCTTGAATAGAGTAAGCCCCTGTTAGTTGGATTTAAAATGGGGAAGACACTCCCAGCATCAGGGGTGAATGTTCCTGCTATTCTGAGATGGGTGCTTAAGTGACAAAATGAATATTTAAAAGATACAAGTCCCGGCCGAGTAGCTCAATTGGTTAAGAGCTCACTCAAGGGTTTAAGCTCTGAGCAACAGCAGTGCGAGTCCAGCCCAAGCTGAGCTGCCGCTGAGCTGCCAACAGGTAGCAGGATGGCTCAGCTAAAAAAAAACAAAAAACATACGATATTATTGTATATGTATATCAGGCTGGTAACTGAAAGTGTATGGCTACACTTCAATGGTTTCTTGTTTTCCTTAGGACAAAATCAAAATTTCTCGCCATGGCCTTCAAAGACCTTAGGCCTCCGGGCCTTGTTCTCTGATCTCACCTCATTGTTTCCGCTCCCCACCTGAGAAATGCTCCACTCAGACCGAAAGACTCCTCTTTCCTCAAATACACCATACTCAGTCTCTCTCTCTAGGCAGTTTACCCTGCTGACCTGCCTGCTATCCAACTAAAGTCCCACCCACTCACTTCTCTAACTACAACTTGTCTCTCCTTTACATCTCATATCAGACTGGCTCTCCACCTGGAGAAACTGAGACTGACCCACAGATTCCGGCAGAGGTGTCTTTATTAGGTTCAACATTGTCGCATCCCTGGCATGGTGTTCTAGATTAAATTATGTCCCGCAAAAAGGATATATTGAAGTCCTAACCCTGGGTACCTGTGAATGTGACTTTATCTGGAAACAGTCTTTGCAGACGTAATGAAGTCAAAATGAGTTCATGCTGGATTAGGGTGGGCACAAATCTGGGTTACTGGTATCTTTAAAAGACGAGGGAAATCTGGATAGAGGGAGACACACGCAACGGACGTGTGCCATATGACAACAGAGGCATAGATTCGAGTTTTGCATCTACAAGTTAGGAAATGCCCACGACTATCAGAAACCAGGAAGAGGAAAAGATCCTTCCCAAAAGCTTTCAGAGAGAGAGAGAGAGAGCATCGCTCAGCTCACACCTTGATTTTCTGCGAGAGAATAAGTTTCTGTTGTTTTAAGCCACTCATTTGTGGTACTGTGTTACAGCCACCCTAGGAAATTGATATAC